CGGTTCATCCGCTCGTAACTGCTACGCCCATGCACCTGCCGTCAAGATGTCTGAGGGCTTACGCCTGCAAAACTACAAATGTTATTATCACTAATTTTATTGTGTAAAATGGCCTATGGAGTGTTCTGTCATGCTTTTATATGTTTTGCAAATAAATCCCCTTTTAAAAACGAAAATAAATGTCTTTTAAACAATTTTTTCCAGAATTGTGTTTTTGGGCCTTCGTGATTCTCACGATTGTAGACCCTAGGGATTTTGAAATTTCAGGATTTTAACATTCAGAAGCATATCACTCAGGACTGTGTCTTTCAGGATCATTACTGGCTCCCAAAGACTCAATACTGTCAACATGTCGGCTCTCCAACTTGATCCCAGTCAAAATCCCAGCAAGTCATTTTTTGGATACACGCAAATTTATTCTTAAGTTTATATGGAGAGGTCAGTGACCAGAACAGCCAACACGACACTCTACAACTCCATGGTAATGCACACAGGGTGGGGTTGGTGACACAGACAAACAGATGGATGAAACAGAACAGAAAGCCAGGAATGGGCCCACGTACGTACAGTCAGCTGAGCTCTGAAAAGGAGCAAAGGCGACGCCAGGAAGAAAGGACCGCCCCTTCAACAGACGGTGAGAGACAACCGGACGTCCACACACACAAAAACGACTGCAGACGCAGACCGCACACCCGTCACGAACTCTAACTCAGAATGGATCACAGGCCTCATCATAAAATGAAAGACTACAAGACTTCTGAAAAGTAACAGAGGAGAAGATCTCGCTGACCTTGGGTCTGGTGATGACTTTTTAAAATCCAACACCAAAGGCAAAATCCATGAATAAAGTAATTGGTAAGCTGGACTTCATTAAAATAAAAATGAATGCTCTGCAAAAGACACCATCAAGGGAATGAAAAGGCAAGCCACAGACTGGGAAAAAAATGCCTACGAAAGACTTATCAGATGTCTGATAAAGGACCAGTAGCTAAAACAGTCAAGAACTTTACAAGTTCAACAATAAGAAAACAAACACCCTAATTCAAACACGGCCCAGAGACCACCACAGACGCCTCATCAAAGAAGATACACAGATGAAAACACACACCTGGGGATGCTCTGCTCCTCTGTCATCAGGGAAATGCGAATTAAAATGACAATGTGGCATCGGTACATTCCCACCAGAATGGCCAGACCCAGAACACCGAGGACACCAGTGCAGGCACGGGTGTGGCATGGCGGGAGCTCATTCGCTGCCGCTGGAAACACAACGCACTGTGGAAGACAGCGTGGCGGCCGCTTATAAAAGCAAACATTCTCTTACTACAGGATCCAGCAATTGCATGCCTTGGTATTCACCAGTGGAAGTTGAAGACTTACACCCATACGAAAACCTGCATGAAGGTGCTATGGTTGCTTCATAAATAATTGCCAAAACTTGGAAGCAACCAAGCTGTTCCTCAGTAGGCAAATGAACTGTGGCCCATCTAGACGATGAAATGTTATGGATTTTAATATAATAACACAATAGTATTCAGCACTAAAGAGAAAGGAGCCATCGAGCCATGAAGAGATAAGGGAATCTTGGAGGCACGTGAGTAAGTGACAGAAGCCAACCTGAAAGGCCACATGTCTGGTTCCAACTCTTTCCTGGACGTTCAGGAAAGAGAAACTACGGAGACAGCACAAGGTGTCAGGTGAGGGGAACTGGAGACGCTGACCTGGATGAGCTCCAAATTCCTTCACCAGCCATTGCACGGCACCTGTTGTCCTCCCCGTCATCCCTCCTTAGACCTTTGATTGAAGCTGCTCTAAAGCGCTTCGAAAGAAGACCAGATGTGAATGATGAACAAGTGAAGGAAGAGGGTCTCTTTTTAAAGCTTTTACCAGATGAACTTTTGTCATGTGCATTCAGCCAGCAGCCTTGCTGATTTGCCGCTTCTTTGGGAGCAGGGATGTGTGGGTCTTCTCTCCCACTCTCTGAAGACTGAAGAGTGAGGGTCTGATGTTGGACCCGACCATGCAGCAGGAGAGTGACCCTCTTTTCTGAGCTGTGAAGAAGTATTCTGTGCCTGGGTGTTATTGCAGGGTCCTGCGTTCCTGCTTGGGTGTAGTTGCTCTTTGTGTGCTGAGAACATCTAACTATCTGGGACCTCTCATCTTGCGAAATCCTTCGATGTCTGGATGTGCTTTAGAATCATCCCAGGGCTGAGCAGGTGGCCGTGGTGGGGACAGAAGAGCAGCAGGAAAACCTGAGAGTCACCGTTTGTGGGAGATAGGTGATGTCTGCACGGGGTTCTCAATATACCCTGCGTATTTCATAGGTGATACCTGCACCAACATTCTCTGAATGTTTCACAGGTGATGCTTGCATGAGATTCTCAATATTCTCAGGTGATGCCTGCACGGGGTTCTCAGTACTCTCCGTGTGTGTCACAGGTGACGC